TCGTTACAACGATTTTGATTTCGACAAAGTGCCATAAGCTCCTCTTTTTTGCCTAGCCTATTGATCATGTACATGGCCCACTAGGCGAACATACAAACGGATTTGGCCTATCAACTCTGTGTCGTCTTGCGTAGCCGCTCATACCATATAAGAGGCGAGGGCCAAGCGGTTAAGACTTATCAGCAATTACATAAGTTGAAAAGATTCGAGCAAAAGAAACAAAGGAGAACCAAATGTTAGACAAGAAGGGCTCTTGATGCAAAAAGATCCACTGAAGCGGATGCGAGGAGGTCATGTAAGGCTTTGTCATTGGTTACAATGAAGCAGCACAAATTTTTGAATCATTCCACAGATGCATGCGGCTTGCGAGTTTGCAGTGCAGCTTGACTCCGGGCAGGTCTGCGGCACGTCAGTGACATAACATGCTGAAATCTTGCTGGAGTTCTAAACCTACAAACCACTCGACACGAAACAAGTTAGAACGATGTCCAAAAGGTTCTAAACGATGTCCAATCTCCAATAGGTTCTAAATGAAGGATTTGATTTCATCTACAAGTTTTTGGTTCAAACATTACAATCTGGCGGACATAAATTTTTGATGGACTTTCAACTTTCTCTCAAACCGTGCATTTATGACACAATGAAAATCAACACCAAAATGCAAGTGGCCATTTATTGCACTAGCAAACCACCCAAGGCCCAACTCCAACACAATGGACAAGAAGTTGGCACACAATTACGTGATGGCTTTAAAGTTGCAAACAAAGAGAGCCTAGAAAGGATACCACCATACAGCAGTAGAGCGCATAGCAATGCATGCACATGTGGCACCCCAGTCACGGTGACCGCCGAGGCTTTAGGCCCAATTTTTAATGATGGAGACAAAACGTTCAGTTTAGCTGGGGCCTTGACAAACAAAGAAAGCCTAGAAAGGGATACATAGTGTGTGAATCCCAATGCTGCCCTCGTGTCAACTGCAAGCCCGCGTATCAAACCCAAGTTGCTTCAAAACACTGTGCACACTTTGAAGGCAAGGTGGTGTGTTTTACAAGCAATGTGGTCAACCCAGATGCAAAAACCAGAAGGCTTTACAATGGTTACAAGGGAGCACCAAACGTGACTAGCCTACAATCGTTGACAACGCCACTTCGGACATCTTGGCCCCAACCAAGAAGAATTCATTACTAGTGCAATTCTGGCGGCCAGGCACAAAGCACCATAAGCAGGCAGTCGAACTTCCAAGCATCAATCAAATCCGCAAGATTTTCTAGCCACAAAAACATCTGATTTAGAATGAACATGGATTGATCAATACTTATATTAGCTAGCGGCCAACAACGAAAACAGCCAACTTTAGGATCTACTTACGCACATTTTCTATGGCCAACGTGGTCCCCTTTGAACGAAGTCAACTTCAAGCCGAAGTTTGATTTGGTGGTGGTTCTAGGGCACTTGGCTAAACAAGCGGCCCTTGAAGTCGTAAAGTTGTTCCACCCTCGTAGTACTAACGCTTAGAGTACTAAGAGAAACCAGACTCATTTTACTAGGATCCCACTCTATTTTCAGCAAGTGGATCTACGGGCCGAAATAAAATTACCATTGTCTGTCTGGATCAATGTGAAAATTGTGCTCCACAAGCTTGGGTAATGACAGATGGGAAGGCTCTGCCACCTTCTCTACCTGTAGACACTTTTTCTAGAAGGCCCATCTTTCAAGGGCAAGACAGCACTGGGCACTCTCTTGGGCCCAAGTGCTGTCTTGCCCAAACAAATTCACATCTCGTGTGACAAAGCGGTAACGATGTCTTCCCTTCGCCGTCCTGCACTTGAAGCAGACTCAAAACCAACGAGTTTGGAAGAGCTTGAAGAGAACCAACTCGCACATATGTATGTCTCTTTCACCACAGGGAAAGCCAAATGTGATATATACAGATGAGGTCCAGTAGTGTACAAGGGGATTCTAGCAAGTTTATCCAGCCAGACTGTCAGACTTGTTCTAGCACTTTGATTGTGCTTTCATTTTTGCCCTAGAAGCTTCTTTACTTGCCTTTGCCGCTTTGTCCAAGCGCGACGAGGCATTGCACACCTTCCTAGACGGCCTTTGCAATGAAAGAACCACAACCCTCGTGGTCTCTTCCG